TGCCGAGACTTCGGGATTTTTAAACGAAAAACTTCGAGATATGCTTTAATATTGTTAAACATTTTATTTATAAGTAAAAAATTAAAAAAAGAAATCAATCCCGTAATTCGGGATCGGAAATCCCATTTTTCGGGACTGACATTTCAAAACGTTTTTAACAGTACAAAAAACCATAATTTCAAATCAAGCAAAATAAATCCTGATTTCGGATTTCGGCGTTTTACAACAGGAAAATTTCCATGCAATTTTTTAATGTCAGGTGAAAATCAGTACCTAAGTTCGTGTTCGGAAAACCCTCTTTTTCGGATCCATAATCTCGGTACTTGCAGTCACACAACATTTATAATAGTATGAGATACGCAAAAACTCCCACTATGTACATACATATGTATGTATATGAACAAATCCCGAAGTTTCGTGATTTTAAATAAAGGAAATTTTTGAGGTAATTTAAAATATTGTGACAATCTTTGATTGATAAGTGAAAATAAAAAAGAACAATCGCTTAATTCGGGATCACGTTTTTTCATGATTCATAATCTCGAATTTCTCGAATAATTCCATATTATACAAACAAATCCCGAAATTTCGGGATTTTACAAAAGAATATTTTCGATATAAATATATTAAAACATTGTTACAATCCTTGACTGCCAAGTGAAAATTAAATAAATCAATCCCGCAAATCGGGATCGGAAATCCCGTTATTTCGGGATGCATAATCCCAGTACTTGAACATCTCAAAACATTTTTAGCAGTGCAAAATCGCAAAATTCCAAATCATTTACCTTTAATTAGGCTTTATATTTAAATGTATTATTTTTGTCTGCTTTCATACGCAACAACTGTGTACAGTATTGCTTATAGTAATAGCACCAAACTTATACCCACTCAGAACGTGTTTCTTTTTGTTGTTGATCTGCGCACTTGAACCGCATGAGAATTTTCAAGGTGTTATGTCTTTACAAAGCAAATCACGATAGTATTTTCCGGCACGTTGCGTGACTACTTACTTCTCTTTTCCACTCTCTTTCTATTTTATGCGTTAATGCTCATTATGCCCTTTAATTTTGGTTCTCTGCGTTATTGTGCTATTGATGAGTGCGAGTATCGAAAATGATCGCGTTTGGTGATGAAATTGAATTTGTTTAATTAAAAAATAATATTTATTTTCCTTTTTTTTATTATAATCGTTTGATGATTTGGCCAAGAATGTAGGTTTATTAAAGGGTGATCCATTTCGATGTTCTCTTGTTTTTAAAGAAAAAGCCCAAAAACTTCCAATTTATTGTCGAATGTTTATTATCATTGGAAAGAACATTCTTTACCATTTATTTTTTGAAGGTTTTATCTTTTAAATGTTGGCCGCGGATCGTTTCAGATGGTCCATTCGTTGAGTCCAATATTCGAAGATTCGTTCGAACATTTTGACTGGTAACTGGCAATGATTCTAAGGCCTAAATCGAAACGGGATTGTCTGCATGGACTTTAGACTTTACATAGACCCTTTTTCCTGTGGGTGTGATACCACACGATGTTGGTGGCCAATCGACCAGCCTAAAACGTGACATTATCGGCTTACTAAAGTGTTCTCCCAAGAAATCCATTGATTGATGCGTTGTGTAGGAAGTGGCGCAGCTTGTTGAAACCAAAGAAGCCGAGATCACTAGCTTAAATTTCAGGCATCAAATAGTCGGTTATCATGGCGCGATAACTGCCGCCATTGGCGATTATGTTCTCATCGGCATCATTCTTGAAGAAATATGAGACGATGATTCCATCGGCCCACAAACCACACCAATCCGTTGTTTTGAAATGGCAGCTCTTGAATCGCATCTGATTGGGGTTCGGCCCTAATGCAGGAAATTTAACTTGTTTATGTATCCATAGAGCTGGAACTGAGTTTCATTTCGCTGAACAAAACATTTAGCTCGAAAACATCGGATCTTTTTGGAATTTTTCAAGAGCCCAAAAAGCGAGGCAATGTCGCGAAGTCATATCACTTGGGAAGGTCGAGCGGTTTTAGTTTTACACAAGGTTGCCATCTCCGTTTAACGAGTAAAAGTTGTGCGAAACCGATCCATGGTTGGTTCGGGGTTAAGGGTTTAGACAAAAGACTAAGACTAAGTCCAAAAAAGATGAGAGTTGAAGGCCAGTCACAAAATCGTTATAGTGATAATGGGTCTCTTGAAAATTGACAAATTATCGCTGTAGAATCCCTATGTATTTAAAGGTGGCTGAAACCAGATGAAGGAAATTTTCCCACATTATGCATAGGTTAGATTTTACTATCGGGTACTTGACATACTCGAAGTGTCCCTCAACACCTTAATTTTTTTCCTGCGTGTGCCTAATACCCCTACTTCTCCTTACGGCTGACTCCATTGAAACTATCTCCAAACATTACACCGGTCTACAAAAACTAAATTTGTGGGCAGTATGCCATTATTCCATAACAAATATGACCCCTTGTGTATTGACCGAAACGTCTAATTTCCCAAACACTTGTCATCGTTTCTAATAATTCATTGTCATTAACGACCGCTGCCGAATCGTGTTGTTCCCCAATCTTCCCCGCACGCGATCGCTTCTACGTACCTCGATTGCGTTTGATCTTTTCACGCTCTCTATTAGCGTGAGAAATTCGTGCTTTCTCTTTTTCAAAAATCCGTTTCCTATTTGCTTTTCCAAATTTTACCTTTCCCTAGTCATATCTTGGCCTTCAAGGCACTTCATTCATTTCATCTTATCTGTGTCACTACATCGCATTTGCGCTTCGCAGCGCGTGCGCGCTCTCTCTCTGTCTCTTCGCTTACTCTCTTTAGCTGACTCTTTTTAGGGGACACATCATCAGTGTCACCTATTTAATTGCTAATGTATTTGTACATATGTATTCGCTATTATATGTACATTGTTGCTAATTTTTGTTCTACGAATATGGTTAGTAAATCTTAACGTAACGATTTTGTTGTTGTTGCGACTTTTCTATTTTTTCTTGCGCCCACTTTTGCTCTCCACAAGCTAGACACAAGCTGATATGTATAAGCTTAATTCCGTATTTGTATTTGTTTATGTATTTGTACAGTGGCGCTAAAAAGAATAGCATGCGATGCAGCTTAATGAGATTCATGTCAGCAGGAACAATAAAAAAAAATGGAAAATATGAAGAAGTGCTATACTCTTCGGTCCCAAATGGGTGCCTGTAAGACGTTAAAATTAAAATAAATGCATTATTTCAACAGTCCTAAAACTAGAACCACCTTCTTCCAAAGTTGTGTGCTCTAATTGAGATCAGACAAGTTAGAAAGCTTCGCCAGCAGTTAGATTAAATGAGCGGAAACGTTTTCTCGTTTAACATCTCTATCCGGATGGCAATGCATATAGCATTAATTTTTCCCCAACAACGTTTTCTATAGAATGTTGGCAAATTGATCTAAGAACTCGAAAGAAAATCAAGGGTTATCTACTTGACTATAAGCTTAATAATTATTTACGAGGATTTATTTAATAATTGGGTATATTTCCGACCATTATTATTCCCTTGTAATCCATTGAAATGATGCATTTATGTTTCGGCTATGTCTCTAAATATGCCCTCATTTCTAGGCCGAATTGTCTTTAGCGAACTTCATAAGATTTGACAAAGGCTCAGGTGTATTTAATAATATTCCCTTAAGGCCAGATTGGATATATCTTAGTGACTAGTAATATACAACTGGCAAATAAACTAATGTAAATGTAATAAAGTGGTATAAATAAAATAATGTGGTGTAAATAAAGCAAACTGGTATAATTAAGATAAAGGTAAAATACAAAAAGTGGTATAAGAAAAATAAGTGGTATAAATAAAATAAATTGGTATAGATAAATACAAATTAAATAAACTGGCCTAAATTGCATAAAGTGGTGGGAATAAAACAAACTGGTATAACTAAAATAAATTTGTATGAGTCAAATAAATTATCATAAACAACAATAAGACGTAAGTACATTAAATAAACTATAATAAGGTATTTTAATCAAATAAATTAATATAAATGAAATTATTTTTAAGAAGGAATTGGATTTAATTCTTTTATAAAAAAACTGGTATAAATTTAAAAAAATGTTTTGATAAAAAACTGGTTAAAATCAAATGTTTTTATTTATAAAAAAATCTCGTACTAGTCAATTAAATTGTTTAGATAGAAAAATGTGGTATAAAATACTTTACGTGGCATAATCCAGTAATTAACCAACGAGTATAGCTGAAACAACCTACAACTGGTATAAATTAAACTAACTGGTACAAACTAAATAATGTGGCATAAATCTCATAACAAAAAAAAAGTATATTATCAACCAACTATACACTTCAATGAGGTATCTATATAACATGTTTCAACGAATTCAGCTGCTTAACTTTTTTATTAGTTCCAAAAAAAATAAAATGTTATAAATCAAATAAATCGCTTTGATAAAAACTAGTATAAAATACTTTATACGGCACAAACATTTAACCAACCAACGAGAGTAGTCGAACTAACAAACAATTGGTATAAATGGTATAAACTAAGTTAACTGGTATAAGCTTAATAAAGTGGCATTAATCTAGTAACAAAATATAATATGAAAATTATACCAATTGAGGAATCTATATAATAAATTGTATCAAATTCAGTTGCTTAACTATTAACTCCCAAATATGTATGTATGTACATGCATACGTTTTTTGTTACAAGAAAAGCAATATACTGCTATTTTTTCACCAACACTGTTTACCATCATCGCGCCTGCTCATGCATGTGTGCATCGGTGTGTATGTGCCGAGTATGTCATTCTTACCCATTCTTCGCGTTCATACAATTTGTTGTTTGCCAGCTGACTTACTACTTTTGCTGAGTTTGTGGAGCGTGTCAGGGATTCGCAACGTTTGGTGAGCGGCGGCAGCAAACACAGCTTGTATATGCGCACACATTTCGGCACACGGACTGCTTTCGTATAGAAAACGTCTTCGTTCGCACATCAGTTGTTCGTCACATGTTCGACGTGAATGAATATCAACCTGTACATATCGTCTAATACGTAACGAGTCAAAAGAAGAATAAAAAACTGTATATTCCAATTTAGCTAATCAAAGAAACGAAATATTTTTTTGTATAATTCTTGTCTTTTTCGTGTGTTGAGTGCAGGCGCATTTCCACTGTGCCAGTTAAGCGTTCTCTTTCGTGCTTTTTCGCTGCATGCATTCTGCATAAAACCGCAATACTCGAAAAGTCAGTGAAAATTGCAAATTGGTGCAAATTTAAGCGCTGGTGAAAAGTGTTAATGCGTAAGGGCAGCGCTCAAATCCACTGGGTGAAGTGAAAGGTGCATACATTGTTTATATGCCAAAAACAAACATACTTACATAAATGTATAAATGTGTGTTTGAAATTCCTAAGCTGTGTCTGTGGTGTGTTTCATGAGTGAATTGGAAAATTCGTAAAGGAAAATTATTCGCAACAAATCTGTTTAGTGCGTATGAAGAATAATAAATATTTCCGACCACGTTGTGTCGAATTTGTCATAGAAAGAAGGAAAAAAATCCCAAACAAAAAACGTGCGCGCGTGCTACAACAATAACAGCTGGAAAAAAAATCGTCGAAAGCTACCAACAAACGCTCGAAGTTCAGTTCGGGCGCGCAAAACATAACAATTCGTGTCGCTGGCGAAGTAAACAGTGTGCAGTACGTGTTGTTGCAGCAGCGAGTTAACCTTCAGAAAAAAGTATGTACATACATATGTGTAATTCGTTTGCTTATAATTATATTTTTTTAGGATTTAATTTATGCAAAAAATCAGCGCAATATTATTGCCACCAATAATTTATTTTAGTGTTACAAGTCGTTTGTATAAATTTGTCGAATTACCTTTCCACCTTCTTATCACCTCGCTTTTTGCAGACTTTTTTTGCTCTACCGTTGCTTATTAAGGCACATTCTTGTTTCTTTTGTTTACCAAATTTAAATTAGTGTACGAATTTTGCTTCTTGTGCAGTTTCTAGTTGACTTGGCAAGCCAACTAACGTTTACTTTAATCCACGCTCGTCATTTTGTCTGGAAAATTCTGGAATTTGCACTTTACATTAGACGCCAGAAGACACGGCGTAAATAACACATTGTACATACATATGTACATATATATGTATGTGCAGATTATTATTACATTAAATTACTTTTAGTGAGGACGTTGATTTGGAGTAAAAATTTTACTGCTAGTGTGCGACATTTTCGACACTTAGAAAAAAGGTTAAATTTGGTGCACTTAGCTATAATAGCATTCACAGATGACAGTATTAACATGTTACTCACCGAAGCCAACAGAATTAGATCCACCAAATAACAGACCTTGCCTGGCTGAAATCCGGGTCAATTGCGGTATTGTAGAACCGGCTGTTTTGGGAATAGCAGATGTACCCTAGAGCCACTTCATTCTGGGTACTGTAGCAGGTTAAATTTATACTTATTCAGAATGGACCTTGACATAAAAAAGCTATGTTCTGAATCTAATGATACCAAGCATGACACCAATTACCTCTTTGCAAGCCCAATGAAACCAACCCACTTAAAACCTATCTCCTTGTTTTCCGAAACCGTGGAAGCAGCTCGTTTCTTGAGTTTACCGTTAAGTGATTTTGATGACAGCTCCCCCGAAAAAAGTGGATAATCGGTACAACCTTCACAGATGCATTTTTTATAAGAGCGCTACGAAAGTTTTTTTTTGTAATAGAAGAAATATTACTGGGAATTTTTTTCCAAAAATATTGGTAATCCCAGTAACGGGTTTTTCAATGAGAGCACTTCAAAAGTTTGGAATATCAATGAAATTTTATATTCCTGTGAAAGTACATTCGATACCAATAAAATTGGGTCAAGCATCATTTTTTTTTTACATACATATGTACATACATACCTCTTCAGTTTTGCTAAGGCTAAGTTAAGCTTAAACGCTAAGTAAACTATCCTCCCTTAATGTTCTTTTTTGAAAGTAAATATATTTTGTAGTCGAAAAAGTCTTTTCGTATTTCTAATCAATCTGCAACTTATTTTTTTTTATTTGTAATAGTAAATAAATGAACAAATATGTACATATGTATGTATATACCATTTTGGTCGAACACTGTTTGCCATTTATCCTTTAGAGACATTATTCCATCAGTTTGAAACTTTCATATTTAAGCGTAAATTAAAATTTCGAAATTTCCAGAACGGAAGCGAATGAAACATTGTTGTGCTACACGAAGTGCTTACAGCATCGTCTCCGTAGTAGCTTGAGCCCAATAATAAAATAAGTATTACAATGTGCCGCATCGGTTAAGCTGGTAGAAAAAGCCTAATGGCCCATTGTAAAGGTTGACTTATCTACTCTCAATATTTTTTCTCTACTTTAAAAATCTATATACATATGTATGTATGTATGTATATGCTGCAGTACAAAACGAACGTGCTGGATTAATTTTTTGTACTTAATTTTAACAAGTATTATAGGCGATTGTCTTCTAGGTAATAGAAAACGAAAACAAGTTCGGGTGCAACTGCATATAAAGCTTGTTGGAAAAACCGACATCTTTAAACGTAGTATATAGGAGTGGGATAGTACTGACCCGATTTCATCTATTAACCCTGGGTTTCATTAATGTACCTTACAATAGGATTTTTTGTTTAACGATTAATTTTTTCAGTCCCGTCACGAAATTTTCTTGAAAACATCCTAAAAAAATTTCTTGAAAATTTTAGTCCTTAATATTAACATTAAGAACTGGACCAAGGCCTGTAAAAATTTTCCATAGAAGATACACTACAATCTTGAGTTTTTATCTTTAAATTCCTACAGATCCGAGGTATTGTATCGCTTTGACTTTAGACGTATATTTTTCAGAATTGTCCACTATACAAAAGTGCCCAGTGCAACCAAGTCGTAACTCACACCGGAGAGGTAGTACGTGGCTCTAAACCCGATTTTTCTAAGAATGCACATGACAAATTTGTAGGAAATTTTAAGGCTAACCCTTCATATAACAATATTATATGGAGTAAAGTCAGACGTATGTTCGAAAATCCTGATATTAGTTATACGGGTGCTTTCTGAATTTCATTTGGATTTGGACAATTTTTGATCAGAAGGATACTCTTAAGGAATTATTAAAGTTAAAGTTTTATCCCGGTATATAAATTGCTTCCTGATTTGTGTACTGGAAAGTGAAAGAATCAATCGACTTTAAAATAGTGCTATATAGGAAGTAGGCATGATTGTAGTCCGTTTTCGCTAATTTTCGGACCTTGACATGGGAATACTAAACTAAGTCGAAATCGGTTCGAGCGAGTCCCGCGATATGGGATTTCACCAAAAAGTTGGCGGTCCATCGTCCACTTTCCACACCGGCTCTCAGAAAGCGGGGTTATCTTCCGATTATATCCATTTTCACACTCTCGATAGGAGTTCTGATAATATTTGCGTTAGGTGAATTTGGTTATTGTAGCTTATGTATTTTAAGAGAAATTTTGGTATGAGTTATTGCTCATAGAAATAATGTTATCTCCGAAATCATTGTTCAGATCGGATTACTATAGCATATAGCTTCCATACAAACTGGACACAAAGTTACTAAAAGAAATAAACCTGTGAAGGGTATATTGGCTTCGGTGCAGCCGAAGTTAAAGTTCTTTTTTTTTTTTTTGTTTTTACTACGGAATCCTTTGCGCGTTGGCCACGGCGAATATCGCATTCGATCAGCGAATTAAAAGACAGCGGCTACGTTGGCTGGGTCATGTTGTCCGAATGGACGAAAACACTCCAGTTCCGAAAGTATTCGACGCAGTACCCGCCGAGGTAAGCAGAGGAAGAGGAACACCTCCACTCCGTGGGAAGGACCAGGTGGAGAAGGACCTGGCTTCGGTCGCCACGTAGCGAAAAAAAGAAACGATTGGTGCGTTGTTGTTAACTCGGCTATAATCGCGTAAGCGGTGTCTACGCCAGTAAAGAAGAAGAAGAAGAAGATGTATGTATGTATTTGTATATAACTCTAAATATATTTCGATTAGTTTTAGGGAATATTTACATACAACCGTTAGGTGAACAAAACTGTCATACTGTGTGGCAACACGTTGCAAGAGTAGAAAAATACACCTGCCCACATAATTTGGATTTTATATCGATCTATGATCTGTCAACTCAAGCGAAGATCGGAGATCAAATTCAATAAATTTTGTTATATTGTTTTCTAATAATGGCATTAAACGTAGAGTGTGGGGCATGATTTAGAAAATGCTAATTTACTAAAGCTTTCTGCCACTTTTGCTCGAAGAGACAATGGTTTTTGAAGTTTCAGAAAAACTGCGGTCTGTTGCATCTACGTCCATGCCCAACCTATTGTATTTAAATAACAGTCTCTCGAGCTGACGTTAAGTTTATGTTAATAAAATTATTTTGGCGAAAAATGGGCGTGTTCGCGGTCTTTCGTATAATGGTGCAACATATTACATACAAACATACATACATACATGCAGGCGTACATACAGCCGAGTCCACGCTGCCTTCACCTGACATTGCAATTTTGTTTGTGCTTTCCTTATGAGCCAACGAACAGCCTCTAAAGTAAACCAATTTTGCGACGCATTTTTTTCTTAATAAAAATAAAAAAAGGAAAAGCAAAAAAGAAGAAATAAAGAAATAGGTGTGATAAGTGTTGCCAAATAATCTTGTTGGTAGCTGCTGAACTGATAAAGAGAGCAAACGAAATGTATGTGTACTTAAAATGCGCTGATGAGCGCGTATACTAACAAATTTAAATTCCATATATATCTACTTGTATATACATATGTACATGTATATATGTATGTACCATATATATGTATGTATGCACATGTGCCATTTACATATGCTTGTGAGTTCGTACACACCTATGTAGCAACTCTATAAATCAATAAAATTCACAATTTGTTTTGCTTTTGCGCGCGGCAATTACTAAAAAGACAATCCGCAATGCTTATGTATATCACAGCAACAACAACAATGAAGAATATTCAACATACCTAAGTATTTTCTAGCTAAAGAAAATATGGAAAATTTTCAGCGCAAACAAAAGGTTAGAACGAAATGTAAATAAATATTCAAAAAGTCGCGACTTTACTATCAGTAAAAGAAAAAACAATAACAAAAACAATAGAAAAAGTTCAATAAAAATGAATATGCAAGAAAAGCAAATGTAGAAAAACTGTTTTTCATTTGCCTTTACAAATGGTTTATTATGACATAAGTACATATGTACAAATACACAGTACATACTTACATGGTTATATATTTAAATATACATACATATGTATGTAGTATAGATAGTATTATGCAATTTAACTGCTTGCACAACTAAATGGAGACGTTCCTTTGCTTTTTCCTTACATTTGTTGTACATTTATATGTATATGTGTGTGTGCGGGTTTATTATTGACTATTTCCACGCTTGCCTTTCCACCAGTTTTCCTTAAGCTTCTATGTTTTTGTATTGACACTTTTTTTATTTAATATTTTTTTTTTAATTTTGCCGCCCTTAGTGGTCCCGAATCCATCGTCTACTTTTCATTCTAGACCTTACATATGTCCCTGCTTTTGAGATTTTTGCTTTACTTGCATTCGCGTGCAGAAACGTGCATACAGTGACTTTCGAAAATATTCATACAATACTTCTCTAGTAAATATTTATATGGATATTATAACATTACAAGTATACATTT